ACATGCTTAATAAGCCAATCTGAAGTGAACAATTGTCTTTGTTCATGTCAACTGTAACAGCATTTTTAAATTACCGTCTATTTGTGGCAGCAAGTGCATTAGAAAGTTAGTGAGAAAAGCTTCTATCTGGTTTTCTTAGCATAACCCACGAAAGCCATGACTAAAAGAAAGTACATATAAGCAAAATCACATAGTCTAACACCTTGTGGACGCGGAATATTTCATCGAGATTTCCAAATCTTTCAAAATACTGAACATACAAAGGACAGCAATTTTACTACTGTCTGTTGAAGCAGTTGCAATCAAACGTTTCAAACCAATCCTATGTACACAGAAAGAAATTATAATCAATCTCTGACTACATCAGAAACTACATTTCGATTCGATTGATTAGTCATCCATATTAGTGATTTCAGCTCACTGAGCAAATTTCATTCTTATGAACTGTAACCTCCTTGAGTTGCTATGTAACAAGATATCTGGATTTATGAATACTGAATGAGTGTTGGTTAACATGTAAATTTGATTCAACATATTTTTGTTTAATTGGTTGGAGGACTTCATCATGAGGCGACATCAGTTAGAGAAGCATTGTAATAAAACCAGCTGGGAGTAGTGGACAGCTGTTTCGTCCTAGTCTGGGAGTCTCCAATAATTGATCTGATGCTGACCGGTGACTGACTGGCTATGTTCAGGCAGTTAACCTGGGGTCCTAGTGGGAATCCGTGACCAGTAGGGTACAACAGGTTGAAGGTGAGGCAGTGACTCATGGAAGAAGACATTGCGAAGTGGTCGCGCTATGTCGTGAATTGGCAGAAGTTGGAATTCATGGGTTGGCCATTGGATCGGGTCCCAGTGGCTTAGTGGTCTACGGGTTCGCTGTCATGGTTACCAGAAGTTCCTATGTTCAAACCCTGGTGGTGGGTGCGCACCAATGAAGAGTCCCAAATTAGGCAGACAAAACATCTGTCGTTACACTCCCAGCTGGTTTTATTACAATGCTTCTCTAACTGAGATCGCCTCATGATGAAGTCCTCCAACGGATTAAACAAAAATATGTTGAGTCAGATTTACATGTTAACCAACACCCACTTAGTATTCATAAGTAAACTTGAATAAAACATATCTCTCGTGGACACAGTTTTCATGGTGAAACCGTTAGAAGACATCAACATTCTTTGGCCAGTAATTTTGACAAATAAACAAAATCAGTCATTGGACGGCGGGGAGATTGTTGACAAAATCCAGTTTAAATTATGAGATATTCTTAAAACTGTCGATACATCTTGTAACTTATCGTAACTGTCCCATCATTAACTAACTCCCTGTGAATGTGATAAATGCTTATTGTAGCCTATTTATTTAAACAGCTGTCTAAACGAACACTGTAGTCATGGGAACAGTGAAGCATTATTTGCTCCGGCTTTCAATTAGTGACATTATTATTTTTGTCGTTAACACAACAGATCATGGAATGACCCATTATGACACAGGTTCACTTATTTCAGTATTCCTTTAAAAGACGATATACAGTCATAAAATCTCCTGATTGTTACAATTCTTGTGTGGTGTGTTTACATTTTCACATTTATCATTACCTCTGTACAGCACTGTCTTTTAACTCATACCTATATTTGAAAGAACACTTGTCTGTCACTAGTTACGGATATCACACAGAAATTTGACTAAATATAAACTTTAAGCGATTACTCCTGGCCTGTGTAATTATCAAATATTAGATTCTTACATTATATTATGAAATTTCTACTAAATAACCAATATTTCTCATCAAACTTCGAAATGGCTTTTGTTTGTTGTTAAATTTACATGATGTACTGACTGAACAACTAGTTTCAAAAAAGGAGCATAGAAACATAGAATTCATCTTTGAACGTAAATACTGTTAATTTAATTTATACAGTATTGTCATAGGTTTTGAAAAGTCGCAGAGTTACTGTTCTAGGTGAAGTAGGTACATAGATGGAGTCTAAATAATGAAGATGGCATTAATTGTGAAAAATGACAATAACAAAATGGTAAGAAAAGTGATTCATCATAATAGGAGTGATTCGGAAATTCGATTATGGAAACAATTGTAGACAAGCCTTAATTGTCAGCAATGAAGTGCATTTCTTGACAGTATGCTTTAAGAAACTTTTTAGAATTACTTTAGACTAAGTGTTATCCATTTTCTGAAGTCAGTATATAAGGTAAAATGTTGTCACAGACAAATAACTAAACTGAAAAGTAAATCACATGACAAGAACGTTCGAATTCCAAGTCAATAAGAATGATCAATAGAGACGTAAATTAACCTAAGTATAAAACTTGGGCACTGTGTCAGAGGATAACTCCATTTTAGATAAGATTTTATTTTGATACATCACACAGTGTTATACAATAATAT